GTAAATGCAGAAAAGCAGTGGCCCAGAGACAGACAACCGGATGGTCCAATAGTTGGTTTCGGACCGTGCCGTGTCATAGCTAATTGAACTCTTTAGACCTTTAACCAAACTACGGTTTGGTCTTACTACTTTAGGGTCTTGCAAGGAGGGCTCCACCCTACCCTGCCAAGCTTTTAACAAGGCATGTGCCTATGCAAGCCCTGCACACCTCAGATAAGTACCTATGGTGGTCTCCAAGGCAAAGCTCAAGTCATGTGGTGACCATGATTTTGCAGTTTTAGCCCAAAGCGGTGAAATCAACTTCCCCTTGAGAATTGAAGCTCAATGTCACTATAAAGTTTTAAAGCTAAGGTAGCCTGGTATCTTAACACTACCTAAGTTGCCTTTCTTCCTTTTGTTCTGGCCGACTAGTTAGGCCCTAACCGGTCTACAGTTTAGTATGTTTTGTGGGTGTCTTGACATGCCATTGTACCACGGTTCGGTTTTTATATATTTTCTTGTGAGTTTTTAATCTCCTTTCTATTATTGTTTTTGTCATCTTGACTGCGTTCAGCACTTTGGGCATCCTAGATTGGTGGTAGAAAGGTACTTTACAAATGAAATAAAATTAATTGGTAAGAGTTTAAAGACAAATGCGAGAAAACCACTTCATTGTTTTTTCCACGTTTTTATCTCCACAAAATATTTATTGCTATACTATTTTAGAATGTTGTTAAGAAGCATGGATTTTTTTAAGAAAGCTTGTTTTGCAGATTTGCCATTGTAGCTGTAAGGATTAGAGTTAGGCAAACCATCCTATATGTATGAATAAATAGGCACACAGAGTAAAATCATCTTTTTGCTATACTGCCAGTCTAGATTTCAGCAGCTGTCTCCAAACTGACAGCAATCAACAATTTCCCATTGATGGAGCAGAAACACTAGTAGGTAGGACAAAAAAATAAATAAAAAACACTTCTGGTAAGCCGAGATGAATCCACAAGAAAAGTGGGTAACTGTCCATTACTGTTTTGTCACCAAACTCCCGTCAAATATCTGTGGGTTTGTGCGGATTACACCAGAACACTGAATTTGTTTAGAAAATATTAGTGATGCACCAATATGACATTTTTGGGCTGATACCGACATTAATATCATTGTTATGGCCAATAACCAATATTTGCCGATACAGATACATTAATGCTTATAAAATCAGCAGATTTTGTATAGAATGAAAATTATTAAAGCTGAAAATAAGTTATTATGTACACACACCACACACATCCACGGTTCTGAGATGATTTCATTCACTGTTCACATGACTAAACAATTACACAACACCCCCCTCACCCTCTGAAACAGGCAAACAAATGGAGACGAGATGGAAAAAATATTGGTTGTTAATATCAGCCCCGCGTTATTTATCGAACCGATACAGATATGTTAAAAAATGACAAACATCGGCCGATACGATATTGATGCAGATATATTGTCCATCCCTAGAAAATATTCATGCAGGGTATGTTTAAGAATTTATTACAAGTAAAAGTAACCACAAATGTTCAATAACTTGTGAAAATACAGTTTATGTTTCACAAGATGATTTAATTGATGATTAACACATAAAATAACTATCCGAAAAATGTAAAGCGCACTTTTAACAATGCTGCAGAATGCGTCATATAATCATTTTGAATAGTGACATACTGTAGTTAACTATGACCTGATTTTTCTCCGTTGGCCATTCGGTGTGGCTCTTTGTAATTTAGCGTGTAAATAAAATGAAAAGCTGTGGTATACAAGTATTTATGCTTCATTTATAAACTTGAATTTTCAAGATTCGTGACCCGCAAAGAGAAAGAAAGTAGAAGGCCGTCCAGACGTGGCTTTTAAAACATTCCAATCTTATCTAGACAACAATGTATCAATGCACCCAGTGGAAAAAATGATCACAATTTCCTGCTAAACATATAAATGTAACCTAGGCCACATGCCTCAAGTAGCATTTGTTTTTTCCATTCTTGCGTACTAGGATCTGTAAGGTTTAGTCACAGTGCAAACTGTAAACTTTAATCAGATGACAATCAAATAGAAAATATGCTTGGTCAAAATTTAAATGGCCTTGTGGTTGAGATCATCATAGTCAAGTGATCATGACACATGTTGGGGAGATTAGTTAAATATGGAAGCTGTTTTATTTTCCTCTTGACTTTAATTCACCATAATATTCTGCCATTATGGACAGTATGATTCAACAAAGGAAATACTTGACACATTGGGGAAAATCATCTCAAATCCTTTTTAGCTCCGCTACCTCTGAGGATTACACCCAAATCATGATGCACAGAAACATTCTTAGATGACAGGGGGCTTGTCTATCCCTCATTTGCACAGCAACACTTCAAAAATGTACTTTTAATATACCACTGAGACACAAATTACGCAGTTCTAACCCTAGACGTGAACTGTGAGTACACTCCTGACGAAGGCAGATGTGACTGTTGTTAGTGATTGGTAAATGCTTGATGAGGACAGTGTGGAAATACCTAAATGTGTCATCACAATCCTCTGAGTTGTATGATGACTAAAAAAATCTGCAATTCTCAATAATGCACACAGAAATTAAACATTTAAGACTACTTTTGTTTTTTTTAAAAGCAACACATAAGAATTCTACAGCGAAATGTTCACAAAACAATCTCAATGTCTCCATCATGGTGGAAGGAAGGTTACATTGAAACAGATTTCCTTCTCAGATGGCTGGGGCTCATCAGCTCTTCTATCAGAAAGACTGAAGAGGGACACAGTTACCGTTTACAATCTGTGAGTTTGCCAGGTCTGTACAGATCTAATGCTGCATTAGACTCCAACAGGCAAAAGCCTCCAGAACTGAAGCCCTACACAAAAATGACCCAGAAGTTATTTCTTATGCCCCTAAAGCCTAATTTATGCTTCTCCGTAAGTGAGTGTGGAGTCGCGCACACACATTGACTGAGATATTTTCTCTTCAGACTTCCCGTCTCCTGGGGATTGTTGCACAACAATTCACCACCAGGAAAACAAGAGGGTGTAGCACTTTTCTGGGGTATCCTGCCACCATTACTGTCACGTACCCGGTCCAAGATACTGCATTTATTATAGTGTTTACATTGTTTTAATGTATTTCAGATACTTTAACAAGAACAAAATTGTCCCTCATTCCCCTCCACCTCTTCATGTGATCGACACCTCCAAATCCACATCTCTTGTCATTTCTGTCCACAAATAAAACACTCGCTCGGTATCTTTTTACTTCTTGAGTCACGGGTGCATAATTTTACGTATTTTCAGACTTTTTTTGTGATGCGTTCTTCAATCTGTTACATGTCTGCCGCTAAACATCTTATTTTGTAATGGGGCAATGGCAGTGCTGCTGACAAATTTAAAGGATGTGGAGTTCTGATCAATTGCAAGCTTGGCAGTCGCCGTCACTTTTGACGGACAGTTAAAAACTTGGGCATGTCTCCATCAGCCTCTGCAAGCCCGTCGGATAAATCCCTTGCACTGACGCATAATGGTGTTGCGTTTCTCTGTACCCACACAGACGAAGAAGTATAAATTAGGCTTAAGATGTCCAGGCTAAAGTTAAGCTAACAATGCTAATAGTGATTTAGAAGCAAATGGTCAGTTCTAAAAATATCAAGCAACTTTTTCAGTTTCCAACAACTTGATATTACATGTGTGTGTGAAGTGAATAATGAGTCAGCTGTGTCATTTTACTTCCTTTGATGAGTTGTTCAGAACTACTAACAGCAAATGTTGTAAGTCCTCCCTATCATAAGACACCCATGATATGAAAATGTATTCATCTACTTCGGGTGTGCCCAAAGTGGGGCCCGGGGGCCATTTGCAGCCCCTGGAGTGATTTTGCATGGCCCTCACGAGCGTTTTTAGAACAGTAGAGTTAAGTCTCTCAGGAGGCTTTTGATATAAATGAATAGATTTTAATATTTTTTGTTCAAATTTTTACTAATATATCTATTTTAGACCTTTTTTGACCTGAACAAATAAAAAATATAAAATAATGTTTGCCTTCTTAAAAAATATACAGTACAGGCCAAAAGTTTAGACACACCTTCTCAATCAATGTGTTTTCTTTATTTCCATGACCATGACCGTTTACAAAGGGACCAACAAGTACTAAACACCTCTGGGAACTCCTTCGTGACTGTTGGAAAACCATTTCAAGTGACTACCTCTTGAAGCTCATCAAGAGAATGCCAAGAGTGTGCAAAGCAGTAATCAGAGCAATGGGTGGCTATTTTGAAGAAAATAGAATATAAAACATGTTTTCAGTTATTTCACCTTTTTGGTTAAGTACATAACTCCACATGTGTTCATTCATAGTTTGGATGCCTTCAGTGAGAATCTACAAATGTAAATGGTCATGAAAATAAAGACAACACATTGAATGAGACAGGTGTGTCCAAACTTTTGGCCTGTACTGTATATATTTTTTGTGGCCCATGAGGAGTGTTAACTTCATGATTTTGGCCCTCGTCTTGAAAAGTTTAGACATCCCTGATCTACTTACACTTACCTCGCCTCTGTCAGCGCGCCCCAGGGCAGCTGTGGCTACATCGTAGCTATTCACCATCAGTGTGTGAATGTGTGTGAATGGATGAATGATACACTGTAGTGTAAAGCACTTTGGAGTCCTTACTTTGAGAGGCGCTATACAAGTGTGGGTCATCGTTTACTGTGAATCTTCTGGCACTGATTCATAACTGGCCACTGCCATGAAACTCACTGAATGGCAGTGGCGAAAGTAACCGCTTAGAAAAATAAACTGCAGTCACCAAATTTTGCCCACAGGATGTCATTCTTACATATTGCACCTTTAATTAGAAACTTTTTTTTTGCATGATCTTTGAAGCTGGACTCAACAACTATTTGATTATTATTATTTTTGGGTTGAAAGAACGATAATCTCTTGTTTCACTATTGGATAATTGTTTTCTGTTGAGTTAAAAATCACTTACCGTGGTTGGAGAGTCGGGGTCGCTGGGGTCTTCGGATTCATCGAAAGAGGACAGAGGGGACAGGGAGGCGAGAGAGGTGCGGGTCTGGACCGGGGACCCTCCACAGCCGCTATCTGAGCAAGGAGACTGCTCTCCCGCGTGACTGTTCTGCAGCAAGCCGGTGCCAGGCTCCGTTTCCTGGGGCCAGCTCGAATTGCAGACACTTGTTATGACTAGTTTTGGTATGACTCCTGGAAAACGATGGCCTCCCGTGGAAGTCTGGTGGATCTCAGAGTCCTTTTGCGTCTTTGTGTCAGTAGGAAGGCTGTTGTTTTGATCATCGCCCGTTTTAGTTGGACAGGAGCGGCTGCTATATTCTGTTTTAGTCATTTTATTGTCACTGCCTGTTATCGACAGCCCACCTTCCAAATGCTGATCCGGGGGCAAAGTCCTTTCAGTGTCCGGGTCAGAGGTGAGAATCGGGGTTAAACTCAGATTAGCCCCAGAAAATGACTCTGACTTCAACGCAATGTGTTCCTGGTTGTTTTCCTTCAGCGGCTGCTCGTCCATGGTCTTCGCTGGTGCATCCCAGGCATTGTCCTCTCTCAACTCCTCGCTGATAAGTTGGCTCCGCTTTTCTGAGCCTGGTGCATCAGGCACGGGCTCTCTGTTCACAGCGAGCTGGATCACTTCAACACGATTACTGAGCCCGGATGATGTCTCAAAAACAGTCGGGGTTCCTGTGTGCTCCACGCCCGCCGAAACAATCTCGTCTCGGGACAGCTCCCCTGCTCTGTGTCCGCGGTGCCTTGCTGGGTCCGCGGCTGCGTTTCCAATATCCGCTTCTCCGTGCCCGGAGTCTCGCTTTCCCCTCCCCAAACAACAGGAAAGGACTTTACTTTTGACGGGATTCCCGTTCCCCTGCTCTCTCCGTGGCTTCGATTTGCTTCCAAATGTGCAGAGACGAAGTCCACGAGCCTTTTCTTTGTTTTTCCACTTCGCTCTGGCTGAAGAGGCAGCGCTGCTCGAGAGATCAGAGTGCGTTTGGCCCATCCCGCATACCGTAGTTGGTGGAAACGATGATCCAAGACACACCCTGAAAAGTACAGCTTGAACTCAAGTGACCAAGCCCATGCAACGATCTTAGGAAATCGCAGACTGGTCCACACCTTCCTGTCACTGCTGGGATTGTTTCTTCCAATCTGTGAGAACAAGCAGGTTTCTTAAGTACTCAAGGAAAGTCTGATGAGACTAAAATGTAAAGATGCCAGCAGTTCCTCTCACTTGCTTTATGATTTTATTGAAATGTATGAAAATACAGTTACTGAGCTGAAATTAAAAGATATAAGCATATTTTATTTAAAAAAATGTAAAAGTCACTGTCATAAGTTTCAACTTTATTTTTTCTACTTAGAGCTATGAGGCCAGAATAGAGCTCTTTGTATTTCAGTTACAAACACAGCATCAATGGTGTGAAAAAGAGTTTTACTTTAATGCTTTTGCACATTTCCCTTTGCAAGCTTGCTTTAATTTTCTCATTTTGCTTTCCAAATCATTATTAAATTTGCTATTTCCAAAGGTTAAACTCAAATGTACTGTATATGTGGTACTTTAAAAAGTCAGTATAAATAAAAATGGGAGAACAAACAGCTAAAAGGTGTGCTCGAATTATTTTCTATATGACCCAGCAGACACTCTCTGGCATGGTGTTCTGTTATATTTTGTTTCAAAACACCTAAATTCCCAGAAATGCATATTTATGCATTGTGACTCCCTGTTTGTTCACAGGCTCCCGTAGCGTCTCTTCTCTACTTTTGCAGCAGCTTTTTATGTCCAGGATTTGTATACTTCCGATTAATTGAATACAATTTTATATTCTATTAGCTGGAAACTTAGCCAGCTGCTGTTGTAAATTGGTATCAGGATGTTCCTTAAAACATTAACTCTAATTTTTCAAAAGAAAATCATGATCATGCATATTTTGATGATCAGTGAGTCCTAAACTAAACGAGAATCTTCTATTTTGGACACATTTAGTGTAATCGCAATCCAAATGTTCTACTCAGACTGTCCTGAAAGGAGAAGCTGCTGAATGTCACTCAGTATGATGGTCACAGCATGCAGTCACTCGAAGGAGGAAAGTTCAAAGAAAGGAAATGAGACAGGAAGTGAAGCAATGGAAATATCTGCTTACACTGAAGCACATAAATACACATGTCCATGTTAATTCTTGTGCAATTTTAAAAATTACAAATAATTTCACATTATGATTCACATGCAAATGATTTTAGTCTTAAGGTGGGTTAGGAAAACCAACAAGTAAACCCTCAAATAAACGTTTACCTTTATCCAAGAAAGAAAAATAACCAGTGAGCTTAATTTTTCTGATTAGACTGGTAACAATTAGACAATAATCTTTGTCTTCTGTGATAATACTTTTGAGATTTAGACACCTCTAAACCTTTATATTAATTTTCCTGCTTCAGTGAACGCTTCAACCTGATTCTATTAGGCATATTGCTTTTAATAGAAATCTTGCTCATCAGATTTCCTTCAAAAAATGCATAGTTGGTCCTTTGCTGGTGTAGTCATTCATCCACACACTCCCACTAAAGCAGTGACATACTTCATAGGAATTTGGTCATTTCAAAACAAAACCACAAAAAAAGAAGAAAAAAGGAAAATATTTCAGCAGCAAAAACAGCAAAGGGAAGTTGCATCTGCAAACTACCACCTCAGTATTTATTGACACTTATCTATCCAACAGTCATCTATTTGTTCAATCTTCGTGTTACAGTGGAAAGTACAACCACTCGTCATTAAGGTGAAGTTTACACAGTAAAAGTGTTGGTTTAAAGATAAGATTAGCAAAATGTAGCCAGGATAACTTAATATACAACAACAAATAAGTTATACAGGATTATAAAACTTAAGTTTATTTAATACGTGCTTGTTTTGTTGGGCAATAAAATGATCTTTCACTCCTCAAGATGAAACCTAAAAGCAACAGCTAATTTTACTGAAATGTGCCAAAACTCACAAAACAGATGGAAACAGCTGTTGGAGCTGAAGAAGAGGTGTAACTGCAGGGTGGCAGGATGATGTCTGTGGCTTCTCTCGTCAAAGAGTGAGAGTTGAACGTGTGCAACAGCTTGCGGTTGGTTGGGTTTATTCAGTCCTTGACATTTAAATTAAAGGAAAAGAGAAACTGATGAAAGTAAGTTATCAGGTGTGGAGTCATATAGAAATCCCATACACGCTCTGCAGTAAAACGTAGACAGGAGAAACCAGACGCCCCCTCAGCACACGAACAACAGAGCATAAAAACGAGTGTCAGAAAGAAACGAGCCGAAGACACACAAGAGCCATGCAACAAGGAGCAGAAAGCACAAGAGACATCAGCCGTAACTGCACAAGGGAGAATCCCATAACGGGCTGGGATAAAGCAAGGATCGTAACCACAGAACAAGAAAAATGTAAAAGAAGGAAGCCACAGAAGTAAGGAGACGAGGGAGTCTACCCATTAGATCACGCACGAGACTGCGTCATCCACGAGGAGGGGGAGGGCGACGCCGACCTCTACTGCCCATGGATAAAGGGAAAGGAAGTGACGCCGGCGCCAACATTGGCTCTGAGGATGGCTACAGGAAGTAACCGAAACGTTAGCTAATAAGAAAACTTTTCTTTTCTGTGTTTAAAAAGAACCAAAGAAACAAGGTAAAAAGAGACAGAATGAAAGTACAGAAGATGAATAGAACAATTGCTGTCAGATACAGGAGATGAGCATTTCAGGAATATAGCGACACACTGAGCCTAGCCGTTAGCATATCAGTCCAAAAAGATGTCAGCTTTATTTCTCCAAACAAAGGCTGTTCAGGAGGAGTAAGGTCAGGTTTAATTAAAAACACACCGAAGTGTTGCAGAAACTCATCTCTGCTTGTTCAACTCTTTGGTATGAAACTTCGTTTCTTTTTGACGAGTTTGAAGAAAACTGTGAAAACGAGGTTTTAAACGCCAGACTTGACTTCATGAAGAACGTCTGACGACATCTGGTTTTAACGGTGCTGCCTTTATGTGTAATCGGAAAACCTACCACTCAATTACTATTCAAGTTATTACGTTTGTTACTTTACGTGCCTTTTAATTGTCATTTGTACGTTTTCTACTTAAAATTACGTAGCTGTGTCAGAACAAAAATGTGAAAACGTTCAATCTGTTACTGAATGTCTATTTGGTGATTGTTCTGTTGATTTGGGTTAAACGCAAATAGTTGTGCATTTTGGGTGCGCATGGCTTCCGTAGATGCGGAAGTAGTTTCCCAATCAGGACGCGGCGTGACATTCACCGGTTTGTCAGCAGAGTTTGGGGTCGTGTAGAGAATCGTGATTAAACTCTGCCGGTCTGGGGTCTGCTGAACTGCTGTCAGGATGAGAGTACTGAAAGCGGGTCTATGTTTGACCAAAACGCACGTTTTGGCACCAAGAAGTGTATCGCTTATAAAGGTATTAAAACGACTGCGATTTCCCATCACAGATCAGAAGCAGGTTATAATTTTACATTTATATGTTATTTTTATACCCAGGTGCTCATTAACAGCTGTCGGGCGTGTTCTTCTGGTGTCTTCCTTAACGAGAGGATCCGTAACATCGGGATCTCCGCTCACATCGACTCTGGGAAGACCACCCTGACCGAGAGGGTCCTGTATTACACGGGCAGGATAGCTGAGATTCACGAGGTGAGCACCAAGATGAGCTTCTGGTGACACGTGGACCGTTTTGCTGTTGTTGGTGGTGATCACGCTGTTTTCATGTTGTTGTTTTTTTCACCTCTGATGTTTAGGTGAAGGGAAAGGATGGTGTTGGAGCCACCATGGACTCTATGGAGCTGGAGAGGCAGAGAGGCATCACCATCCAGTCAGCAGCTACATACACCATGTGGAAAAACCACAACATTAATATCATTGATACTCCAGGTACTCATTTCAGATTGTGTGGTAAATATGATCTGTGAATATTGTAGTCCTGCAAATGGTAATTAGTAAATATGTGGGTTGATGTAGTTTTCTCTGATTACGTTCATTGAGTGAGTTAAGAAAAGTTTACTGGACAAGCATCTGGTACAAATGTGTCATTTAAGGGAAAATAAACAAAAGCTGCAACGTCTACTTTAATAATGTAGCAGAGTTTTCACCCAAAGCTATTTACAGATTTTTTTCCCCACCTAACATGCATTTTTATTTTTATTTTTTGGTCCACGGGAGGAAATTGCATGTATGCATGCAGCGAAAGCACACACTCCATAGAAAGGCCACAACTGGGATTTGAACCTGGGATGTTCCCGCTGCAGTGCAACAGTGACATCAACTGCACCATCATGCAGCAATCATGATATATTTTCATCAGATAGTGATTTTTATGATGACTTCAGCTGTCGTTTCTTAATGTACAGCTTTTTATTGCACAAAGTCGGTCTGATTTCTTCCCCAGCAGGTCCAGAGCTGCAGTTACACTCTCTGTAAATGTCCCTCAGGTCACGTGGACTTTACCATTGAGGTGGAGCGAGCGCTGCGTGTGCTGGACGGAGCAGTGCTGGTTCTGTGTGCAGTGGGAGGAGTCCAGTGTCAGACCATGACCGTAAACAGACAGATGAAACGCTACAATGTTCCTTTCCTCACCTTCATAAACAAACTAGACCGAATGGGTGCAAACCCTGGTCGAGCTTTGCAACAGATGAGGTTCGGTTTATTTCTGCACACACTCACTGAAGTTTTGCTCAGAGATGCAGAGAGTTGTGAGATTAAAGAAGGCAAAATCATTCATGTTAATCTGTAAAAATACTAGGATCTGACTTTTTTGTTACTCTTTTTGTGCATTGTGTGCCTAAAAGCTTGAGTTTAAAAGCGGAGTGCTCGCACACGCTCCACAACTCACGTTTTCTTTTAAACACAACGTTTTCATGCTCAACTGTCATTAGATAAGATTCTAACAAATAAAATGATGAAAACTCCAGTTTACAGAAACATGTAATCCTGGTGAACTCGTTAAATCTTACCCACACAGGTACACAACTCTGCTTTAAAGGTTTAGTCTTAATGAAGGTTTTGGACACTTCTTAAAATGTATTTAATGCCAGGAAAAATGATTAAATTTGACAGAGATAATAACTTTCTAAGAAATAAATCTTAAATCTGAATGCAGTGTAGATAAAATTCAAACATTTCTCAGCTTTTAGCAGTCGGTTCCTCTTTAAACCAGTTCATTTTGGCAAAAGATAATGGGGAATATTTAGGGATAGAATGTGGAGAGAATAAAAGACTGGATTAGGATTTAAGCAGTTGTGTTGATTTCACATATTTCAGATGTATTTTTCGCTTTATTCCTCAGATCTAAACTGAATCACAACGCAGCATTTGTGAACATCCCCATCGGTCTGGAGGGGAACATGCGTGGCATCATCGACCTCATAGAAGAGCGTAGCATTTACTTTGATGGATTGTATGGGTATGAAAACACATATTTATTAGACCTAAACACCGTCGTTTGGATCGGAAGCTGTCATTCTGTTGATGCATCTTCTAATGTTTCCTCCTCTCTGCAGTCAGATCGTACGCTACGACGAGATCCCAGCAGATTTCCGTGCCGAAGCTGCAGATCGGAGGCAGGAACTGGTGGAGTGTGTCGCTAATGCGGATGAAACTTTGGGGGAGATGTTCCTGGAGGAGAAAATTCCTAACAAAGAAGACCTAAAGGTAACGATATTACTGTATTATTTCAGGTTGTTGGTTTTAAAATCAACTAATCAGCACCAAACGCAAACTACATGCAAGAAAAAATAAAAGAAAACATTTCTGATTTTTTTTCCCCATAAAAAAGAACGCTGGAATTATGTGTTTTGCATGTTGATGATGCCAAATAAAATTATGATCTAACATTTAAAGCATTTAATCTCAATTAAAAAAATAAAGGAACGCACTGTTTTCAAGCAGCTAATCTTTATTAAATCTTTTAAAAAATTCACCAGATATTGGGACATTTTTACAAAAGACAGCATGCGGTCCAGTTTTAACCCAATTTAGAATGTTTAATTTAGGATCTGAGCAGTTTGTGTTAATAACAAATCCTGTTCATCTCCGTGACTTTTCTCCTCTTCTGCAGGCGGCTGTCCGCAGAGCCACAATACAGCGTCTCTTCACCCCCGTGTTGGTGGGAACGGCGCTGAAGAACAAGGGCATTCAGCCTCTACTGGACGCTGCTCTGGATTACCTGCCAAACCCGAGCGAAGTCAAGAATTATGCTATCCTCAATGAAGAGTAAGAACGAGTCTTGCTGAATCAAAAAAAATTTTTTTTTTTTAGAAAATCCAATGTTTATCATATTTTTCTCTTTTAATAGAAACTCTACTGAAACCTCCAAGATTGAGATGGACCCTACACGAGATTGTTCAAACCCCTACGTTGGTCTTGCCTTCAAACTAGAGGTCCTTTACTCTGAAAAGGAATATTTTTGTCTTTTCATTGCATCTGTGCGGTGATGCAAGAGTGAGATAAACATCCGTCGTCGTGTGTTTCTTTATTTTCCTGTTACCAGGCAGGAAGGTTCGGTCAGTTGACGTATATTCGAGTGTACCAGGGCTGCTTGAAGAAGGGAGAGTACATATATAACACACGGACGGGCAAGAGAGTGAGAGTTCAGAGGCTGGTGCGTCTCCACGCCGATCAGATGGAGGTGAGAACAAACCAAACGTCAGCCGGCTACCACAGGTCACAGTTTTCCATCTGTGGCTTTTAGCTGAGAACTGGGTTGTAGAAAAGAACCACATCCCCTTTGACACCAGAATGTTTCCATTCATCTAGCATCAAATCAAATTGTGAAGATTGATCCTGTAAATCAGGTGAATAGGGTCAGCCGCGACTTATCAGTCTTTCTGTCTCTGCTTTGTCAGGATGTGGACGAGGTTTATGCAGGAGACATCTGCGCTCTGTTTGGGGTCGACTGTGCGAGCGGAGACACGTTTACATCCAAGACTAGTGCCAATCTCTCCATGGTGAGTCATTATAAAGGACTAAAAGCAGGAAATCTTTTATTTATTTTTTTTTACTTTTAACCATCAGACAAATTGCTGGTGAAGGTTATCAGTCTTCCGGGTCATGGTAATCCAAAAGGGTTGAAATGAAGGCAACTGGACAAGCTTATATGCTGTAGCTGGCTATTGTTATTTAACGAGCAGAAACTACTCTGGGTACCCTGCCTCTCCATCCCGTGTTTTGATAAGTCGTTGGCCTCTTGAGAGGGAGTCGTGTTGATTAGATGCAAGAAGGTGACCTAGAATGAAACTGCTTAGGAAAGAGATTCAAAGCGGTGTTATGGGTACTAGAAAGTTTAAGCTTGAGTCTCCCATATGGTTAGAATTGACAAAGCTGATGAGAAGCAAAACGTCAAGAAACCAAAGTCCAGTTGCCTTCATTTCAGCCCTTTGGATCAGACAAATTAGCAGTTTGGTCTAATTTGTTTGACTTTGTTCCCACAGGAGTCCATTCACATCCCAGACCCTGTGATTTCCATGTCCATGAAGCCCTCCAATAAGGTAAAGATTCTATTTTAGTGTTAATCTGAAAGTCACCTTCCAAACTCCTCCTCTGATTCTTGTGTTCATCTAGAACGACATGGATAAATTCTCCAAAGGCATTAACCGATTCACCAGGGAGGATCCCACGTTCAGAGTTCACTACGACTCAGAGAGCAAAGAGACCATCATCTCTGGGATGGGAGAGCTGCATCTGGAGATTTATTCCCAGGTGGCTACTCATCAGCATCTACAGTAGTTTATGTCCAAATGGATTAGGATGCCAGCTGTAGTTTTTCCACACAAACACACCAACAGTTCTTTAATGTGTTAGTTCCATGTTTCTTTATTTTTTTGCTCTGGTTTTTTGTTTTAGAGGATGGAGAGGGAGTACAACTGTCCCTGTGTGATGGGGAAACCTAAAGTGGCCTTTAGAGAGACCATCACCAGTCCTGTACCGTAAGTTCTTCCCTTCTCATGCACGCCTGGTTCTAATGGTGATCTGGAGAACACAAGTATGTTTTATGTTTGTAAAATTCATTCAGGTTTTTGGGGTATTTCGACAATTCTTTTAATTTTTGGTATATTTAAGGCATTTTGGTAAAAGCCAGAACTTTACAGTGTTTTAACAATTCTCGCAGCGAGGCTGCTGCTCCATCTGAAGTGCTTTGACGCCCTCTGCTGGAGACCATGTGAACAGCAGCTTCCACCGAGGGATTTCCTGTAACAACAAAAACATTAAAGCTTAATATCTACAACAGTTACAACAAAATACATTGGAACTAAAAATATTCACAAAGGTTTGCATCATGAAGTGGAGCAGGAGAGGTGATGCAGTTTAATTTAGGATACCAGCACAGCTGAAAAGATTAAGGAATAACTAAATTCTTAAGGAGATTTGTTTACACATTTTTCTAAACCTGCAAGTTCATTTTTAAGAATCCTTAAGTGCATGACATAATTCTAGAATGTTTACAAGTTCAGCAGGATTTAGCGGTCTGTGGTAGTTTACCTGAGACACCATGTCATGCAGCAGCACTGTACTGTCAAACTTCAGCTGATCGTTCTCAGTGGGCTGCAAAAGACGAGTTAAATAACAATGTCACAGACTTAATCTTCAGCTATTATTCTTTGATTTGAGATTAAAAAACACCTAACTTATAAAGCTACTTTATTCCACAGCCTGAAACAGGGTGAGGCAGATTAAATGCATCAAGTAAAATCCTGTTTCTCAGAGATGTATCATCTCTAAAGTTCACATTTAGGTGCCAGCAGCATCTACGTTTAGGCTGTTAAATCAGCACATACCATCTGTGTGAGGCTGGCCACCTGAGCCATGTTGTAAAACGTGTTTTCTGTGGATTCCTTCAGCATGATGAAGCTGGAGGCCACAATACAGAGGTACCAGAAAGGCTTCATGTCAGGATCCATGTTACCAAAGTTGTCTGAAGGAAACAGAACTTTAATTACAGCAAAGGAAGCAGCTGGGGGCAGATTCATACGCTCCATCTTTACTCTGAGCAGGAATCTGCAGCATTTATTAGACCTACCAGGTAAATGATCCGAGGACAGCAGAGGAGTTTTTGTCTTGTATTTCTGGTATAAAGTATCCTCCTCAGCTTTGGTGTTGATCTTGGTCAGCTTCTCGAGCGAGGGAACCTGGACTTTGGGAGGGAGTTGCTTTTCTCCCAAAGGAAAGAAAACCTCTGCAGTGAACTTCTCTGTTGTCTGGAAAAACAAATATTTACTTTTTTCCATGTAAAAATGGTAGGCTGTTCTTTTTTTGAAGTGTGAAAGAAAAAGAAATTTAGACCAGAAATAGGGTGCTGATTAGTTTTTTTTTAACTCTGAGTCATCTCTAGAGGTTTACTCCCAGATGAGTCATCTCTAGAAGTTTACTCCCAGAATTCCTTCATAAGGACAGTGCTGAGAACTTTAAACATTCTGAAAACGAATAAAACCAGTTTTATACTAAATAAGAGTTTAATTTTAAAAACATCTGGCTGGATTTATGATAAAATGTGACCTACGTCGCTGATGAATTCTTTCACTGACAGCTCCAGATGATACCTTCTTCCTGTGTCTCCAACATCCTTCCAGATATTAAAAAGGCCAGGATTAGATTAGATGACTGTGTGTGTGTGTGTGTGTGTGTGTGTGTGTGTGTGTGTGTTCCATTGAGAGAGAGAAGCTGACCTCCACAGTCGCCTTGTGAACACTCTCCAGCTGGAACACCTTGTATGGTGAGCCGTAGCGGGTGTTCAGGTAGATGGGGACCACGTGGGCGGCTCTCTGGGCCTCATAGAACGACGGGTTCAGTTCTCGTCCTGCCATCACACCCATAGCCTCCTCCACAGCTAAAGTGTCCTGTGATTGTAAAGAAAGTCAAACAGTGCAGTTAAGCATCAAGTTCCTGGAGGACTTTGACCCTCGAGTCAACTGGGTGGGGCTGTTCTTTGTAGCCGAGATTAACGTGAAAACTGAGGTAAACCAATGAGAACAGGGCGATGAAGATAGAACCCCCAACATATCACATACAGAATGAACAGCTTGCCTGGGCTGAGTGTTTAGCAGTGTAATGTTTCTCTGGTCGGTCCCTTGAGTCAGTCAGCTGCCGCTGCTGTAACTTCCTGGAACAGCTGAGCTTCGATTGGTGGACATCTTCTTAAAGAGACAGCGTTCTTTTCTGTTCCTGTACAGCAGGGCGGTGCGGGGGCCATTTGCAGCCCACAATTGCATTAATATAACGTTGGAATCCCCCCCATTTGAAATTGAATTAGGGCATTAATTATTTAGTAAATCTCTAGACTTATCGTTTACATTTTTTGTAATTAACGATTTTTATGTCCATTTTTGGTGGAGGCTTCAGATAAGTTCCTATGGGCTTTGCTTCCTACAACACTGTAATTAACAGTTTTATACGGTTTATCATCATTTGTGTAATTAAAATAAAAAAAACAAGCATGTATCGACAGGGGAGAGGAAAACTCCCCTTTAACAGGATGAAACCTCCAGTAGAACTTGGCTAAGAGTGAGCAGCCATCTGCTGCAACTCACTGGGGTTTCCTCCAGATAAACATCTTAAGGTCTTGTGGTTAAAATTTGTTTTGAAATGATGAATTATTAAATTTCGTTATTTTGACCAAGAGAAGTTTTGTTCTCTTTGTGGGGATAAAATTATTTCAGTCAGTTAAGAGTTAACATTTCTTTAAAAGATGTAATATTTTTACCACTCTACAAACTTTGTATTAGAAATAATTAATTGGTCTCTTATGATTTATTCCAGTTAAGGATGAAACACCAAACTAATTTTTCCATTTGATTTTTTGTTGAAGATTGCAGCTTTAAAGCATGTTTGCTTTGTTCCTTTTGCTTTTTCCAGGTTCGACTTCACCCATAAGAAGCAGAGCGGCGGTTCTGGGCAGTACGGGAAGGTAATTGGTGTCCTAGAGCCTCTGGATGCAGAGCACTCCACCAAACTGGAGTTTGTGGACCAGACAGTTGGAACAAACGTCCCAAAGCAATTTGTGCCAGCTGTTGAAAAGGCAGGTGGAAAAAAAAAAATCACTTAATGAATAACTTTAGTTCTCCATCTGCTCTTTCATCATTTTTGTTTTTTCTCCCACCATCCTTTAGGGCTTCAGGGATGCCTGTGAGAAGGGACCCCTCAGCGGGCATAAGATCTCAGGAGTCCGGTTCCTTCTGGAGGACGGAGCTAATCACATGGTGGACTCCAATGAACTGTCCTTCATTCGAGCAGGAGAAGGAGCTCTGAAACAAGGTGAAACTACACAGATCAGCATTTGTTTCCTGATCATCTGTGTTGTGAGGAGTCTACAGTAACACTTCTGCCTCTGTAGCGATGGAGAAGGCCAGCGGGATTATCCTGGAGCCCATCATGTCTGTCGAAATAGTTGCTCCTCAGGAATTCCAAGGAATGGTCATCGCCGGGGTTAACCGTCGCCATGGTGTCATCACGGGACAGGACAGCACTGATGGATACTTCACTTTGTACGCCGACGTGAGTCCAGTTTGTCTCATTTAACCTAAAGAGCAAGTCTGAAATATTCAACCTTCCTTTTGTACCATTTATCAATCTCAACATTTTTCTTTCGACAGATTCCTCTAAACGACATGTTTGGCTACTCTACAGAACTCCGATCCTGCACCGAAGTGAGTTTAATGACAAACAGCTGAAGAATCCAGCTTGTTGTTGTCGAATTGTCAAACATTGAGGGTTTTAAACTGAAAAATGTGTTTAGCTTCCCAGACATCTGCGTGCTGTAGTAGCTGTTAGAATGGATTAACCCTCCTGAGTCCAGCAGGATTTGAACCGTCCTGTGTGTGTTTCTGCAGGGTAAAGGAGAGTACACCATGGACTACAGCAGATATCAGCCCTGCTTGCCAGCCACACAAGAAGAACTCATTAACAAATACTTGGAGGCTACGGGACAGCTGCCTGCAAAGAAGAACAAGTGGAAGAACTGAAGTGTCCACTCATCTGTTTATAAAATCGGACATAAACATCATCTCTGAAAGTTTTCTACCCGACATCAGCCAGAACTAGAAACAAAACATAGACTTTACTTTGTGTTTTACATCCCTTCTTTAAAGACAACTGTCAAGATATCATATTTATTGTCTTTATTTCAACGTCATTTACTCTGAGCTCTGGTGTTTGAAAATGTTACAACAAGCTGTGCGTTTTCACAAGCTTGTAATGAAGTTTGTACTGTGTACAGAGGATACCTGATGGAATGATGACTGCAACAAAGATAAATCTTCTCTTAAAAGTGTGTTTTGTTGTTGGTTTCACGGATTAGATGGAAACCATAGAGTTATTCTTGGTAAGTTACTAAAATGAGCTTGTCCTTACCAGTCCCTCTGTCGTCTCTCCACGGGCTGATGAATCGAGTCCCATCTTAGCAGTGAGTCGTCCTCCAGCGCAGATCAACACAGCCAGAACTACAAAGCTCCTCAGTCCCATTTCTATCCGCTGTTAAGCTCCAGAATGAGAGAAAACTGGTGGGATAGTGTTTGGGCAGAGAAATGACCCACCAGTCAGCAAGGAGTTGAGCAACAAAAAGGAGGGGAAGTGGAAAACGCAAACTGTCCAGATCCTGACAGCTTCTCAGCACAATCTGGCTTTTCTTTGAACTAAACACACTGCTCCACTTAATCTGCTCATCGTCTCCATCCGTGACAAAACGTCACTAGCCTGCAAATCAGTATTTTAGGTGTGATCCACTCGAGACTGCTGTGATTAATCAGAGTTTGATGGGTTGCAGCTTTGCTTCATCTGCTGTCAGATGGGTTAAATGCAGAAGAGCAGAGCTTTCATTTAGCCAGCATGTTCTGGTAAAACTAAGGTCTAGTCCACACGTAGCCGGGTTTTTTAAAAAACGAATATCTGCCCCTCCAAAAACTTGCATCCACACCACCTCGTTTTAAAAGAAAACTGTCCACACGTACCCGGATAAATACGTTGTTAAGGACATGCCAGACCTGTAGGCGGCAGTACTTCCCCCGTTCTTAACCTCGTCCTTCGTCTGTGGTCTTCCGCAAGGAGCAGTAATTCCGCTTGCAAAAACAAACAAGCAAAAATTGCTTGGACAATTGATAAAGGGAGCGCAGCTCTGAGGGCATCCATGCTGTCGGCTAGTGTAAACACAGGTCGTACACGTGATGTCAGCATTTTTTTGTCGCGGAAAGTGACGTTGCGGACCTTAAAACTCCGCTTTTGTCTGTCCACACGCAGACACCCAAAACGGAGAAAACGCAGATCTTCACTTTGGCCGGAGTTTTTAAAAAGATCCGTTTTCGTGTGAAAAAACTCAGTTTTCGTGTGGATGACAGGCCAAAACGTAGAAAAATATCTACGTTTTGGCAGATCCCCGGCTACGTGTGGACAGGGCCTTAATTTGTGCTGAATGGTTATATCAAGAGTGGATGTAGATATATGAGCTGTACAGGACAACTAATCTATTTGGCAGAAATGGAAATCAGCGAGATATGTCTGAGCCAAGAGGGGGAGAGTAAAATGGAGACTTTATTGTAAAAAGGCTAATGAAAACATCTGCTTATCTGAAGTTTGATTAGACTCACATGAGTTTAGACACAGCCTTTGTTTAGAAAAGACAGAGGGAGAGTCTGGCAGGCCAGGTGGTGTTTTTCCATAAGGGACCTTGGCCCCCCCATTGCTACCCCTTGGGGTTGCCTCTGTTTATAATAATTTAGGATTAATATTTGTATAAATAAAAGTTTAGTTTAACACTCTGGTGATTAGGTGTGTAAAATATTAACAAATAATGAAAACAATCCAAATAAACATTTCCTTTAATCAAAAGCTTGACTAGTTTTATTTAAAACTTTATTTAAAAAGCAAGATTATACAACACTGGTGTCCAATCCTGGTCCCGGATGGCCACTGTCCTAGCCTAGTGAACTAGACCAAATTCTTGCTTTGCAAAGTTTGGTCTAGGCACGCTCCATTGGAACCTCCACAGCTCCTACCAGGACTCTGGCTAGCCAATCACAGCTCTCTAGAGGGGTTTCAAACACATAAAGAGCTGTGATTGGTCCATAATGGTGGGCCAATCATAGTGCTCTATCTGCTTAGTGAACAAATCACAGAGCTTTATCCGCTTTGTGGGCCAATCAGGGCACTCTATATGCCTGGTGGGTGGGATGATGCAACAGAGTGAAACAAGAGTATGTCATATTCATTGTCCAGTGGAATGTGGAGATCATTTGAAAGACAACGGTAGAACCCGCCCCACAACCGAGAGCCGTCAATGGAGCGTGGCCAGACTAAATAATACCTTTATTTAGTCTGGCTTGCCAGGCTACCACTGTCCTGCTTCAAAAAAGTTTTTTTCCTGCTCCAACACACCTGATTCACCAATTAATTTACCTGTTCAGCAGGTCATCAGTAGCCTGGCAAGCCAGACTAAATAAATGTATTACTTGCAAACTTTGCAAAGCAAGAATTTGGTCTGGTTCACTAGGCTAGGTCATCAGATGAAGCTTGTTAAGCACCAACTGATTAAAATCAGGTGTGTTGATTAGAGACACCTCTGAATTAGTTCCTCTTGCAAACCAGCAATGATTTGTATTCTTATTTAAATTAATTCTCTGAGCATTTTCACAAGAAGAAATAAAAACTCCACACATGAAATGTCAAAATTAAATCTTTACAATTAAAATCTATTTAAAAAAAACTACAAAACTTACATTAAACATCTTTCCTACCTATATTTAACAGGAAGTTCTACAGAACTTAATATAGTTGACAAGCAAACCCAGCTTGGTGATTAAAAAAAAGAGAATAAACATTTAACTCTTCAAGAGATAGAGCACGTCTTCATGAGCTTTCTCCTCCTCCTCTTCACTCGAGGTTCCCATTGGACTGTTGTTCCTGGGGTCTCGCGTTTGCATCCCGTCTCACCCAAATGCTGCACAGCCCCGGGCAAATTATCAATCAACTCATGCAGGGTGAAGATACTAAAGCAGATTTCATCGTAGGCGGTTTTAGAGCCACACTCGAAGAGGCAGGCGAAGGCCACAGCCGGCGGTGCCCCAGGCGAGGGGGACAGCTCCAGGTAGGTCAGGTCTGAGTATGCGCTGGGACCCTCGTAGATCACCCAGGGGCCCCGCCAGCTGTCTGGATCACGAGGAAACAGGCTGAGGAACACACCTAGATCCTTACGTGCTGTGGCCCAAGTTGGGTGGGAATATACCACCCATGTAGGGGTCAGGAAGTCTGGATGAGCATCATGATGAGGTGTGATGTTTGAAGATGATTCTGTCGTTTTGTTGGAGTCCAGGAATGACGTCCAGTGCCTGGAGTGACCTGTGGGATGCTGTAGAGTTTGCTGTAGATGCAAAGGAGCAGGAAATCCAACAATGCTACCATGACAACCGTTTCTAGGCTCCACCAGCCGATGCACTAGCTGCCCCTCCTGAAACACAGCTCCATCATCCAGACTCAGGGCCTGCACCCTGTATCCCAGAGGGCTGCGTGCATTACAGTACAGCACGTTGGTGCCATCCTCTTCATCCACGGACACCATCTGACATTCCACACTCTCTGGAGCCGGAATAGCCTCGCCGAAACGCCAGCTCCTCCCGTGGGTGTCGCTGTGGAAGCAGAATGAATGCGGAGTGGTCTGGCAAAGCTGTCCGAAGCACTCCTTACAGTCAATGTGGTAGGAGTAGGCAGGAATCAGAAGACGACCCGACTTTAGCTGGATGCCATGACCCGGACCCAGAGCAAACGTAGCCCATTCTGTCAGGAGGGAGGAAATAAAGGGGACCAATCAGTGTCATCCAATTATTCTGAAAGCTTCTTCCTGTTATTCTTATCAGATGAACCAGATCTTTAACATTATTTAATTTAAAATGCATTCATTTTGTTGACCTACCTGCTGTTATTTCTGATATGTTATTTTATTTATTATTTTGGATATTTTATAAGTTATTGGATCTGATCAAATAAACCTGAAGTGCAACTTGACGGTGTAGTTTTCATCTAGGGTTAAGGTTTGTCTGGGTTCGGTGACCTTTGATGGTGTCTCCGATGACTGCCTTGGTGAGGTCGGTGACTGGACTCCAGGAGTCACCCCCGTCAGTACTGGAGATGAAGCAGAGTCGGGTCACGTTGTTCCCCGTCACCAGCTGGTAGGACTCTGAGGTGTTACCCAGAACAGCGATGAAGAACAGTAAAAGTGTCCCTGTGAACTCATCGTACACGGGACACGGGTTCATGGACCTGTGACCCGGCAGAAAGGCGGTACCCAGAACTCGCATGTCCTCCCACTGAAACAGAATAAAAATGTAAAGAATTACAGTTAAAGCCAACAGTAATCAATTCAAACGATTTCTAAACAAATGTTTTTGTATGATATAAAAAAAACCCAGAATGACAGGTCAGTGACCTCCACGTAGTTCCTGTAGAAAGTTCCTTTCCTCATGATGAGCAGGTGAGCCTGGGAGTCAGACGGGCTGAGTCTCTCCTCACAGAAAGCCAGAAAAGTCCTGAACCGGGACACGTAGATCAGGGCTGGGACTCGGTACGTCACTCCGTTAGGCTCCTTGTGGAAGAGCACCGTTCTCGCTGGGAAGTAAGGCGACCTCATCCTCTTTGTTGGGACTGAATCTGAATCCAGTGACACAAAATCAGGAAGTTTTCTCAAACACAACTAAGGACAAAAGACAAAGAGAAAAAACAGTAAAGGCATTTCTTTATGAATAGGAGCAGTAACTATTGTGATCATGAAAATTTAAGTTATGAAACACATCAGAAATACTAAATGGCAGAAATTAATTTGAAAATCAGGTTCTATGCTACTTCACTATAAACTTGTCTGTATTTTAGCTTTTTACACAAAGATTTTTGTCTAAATCTTTCACCATCTGAGCAACCACTCTGTGACAAAAATCAACAGATCAGCAGTCAAACCAATGTCGCTGCACTGAGCTCAGTTTGAGTTTGAATAAAGTAAATGATCTTACCAGTCAGAGAATGATCTCTTCCACCCGTTTACTGGAATATTTTCATTTGTTTTCTGACCAGTAACTTCCCAGTTTAACAGCACTGGGAGGATTCAACACTTCAAAGTGTCACAAACAGGAGAACCCTTGCTGTCTCAGATCTCTGAGAGAACCGCTGCTGCTTTTCGAGGATACACCGGTTGCGTGTGAGCTCCTGGTTCAGAGGCTCACAGTATGATGTATGTGTGTAGTCAGTGAGTGTAGTGAGAATCTCTGTTCACTATTCAGTGTGGCATCCTGTGCACTGACCCAGAAATGAACACCCCTCAGATCCAAGGCTTTGAATGAATCAGCAGAGAGCAGCCATTGTTAGAAAAGCAGGTCTGGTGGGGGGTGCTGAACAATGATGTGATGCTCCGCCTCTCTGATTTCATATTTTCATTTTCAGCACAACGTACGTTTCGTTTTAATGTGTAAAGCACGTCTCTTCTCTCAGAGCCTTGTGTGTGTGTTCTTGTACTTACTACGTACTGAGGACCATCATGAGATTTTAAACCAACAGAGGGAATGAGTGCGGTCCTCGCTATTTTAGAGAGCTTACCAGTTGGTTTTAGAGGTATGGTGGGAATGAAGTTTTTGTTGAGGTTAGGGTTAGGAATACAGCAGCACTGGTTATGCATAGGCATTATACAGTCACAATGAAATGGAAGTCAATGGATGGTTGTGTGTGTGTGTGTGTTTTGGTGATTACAGCTTCTAGACGCCTCTTGTATGGAGAGACCAGTTGTCTGCATTGCACAGGAGTGATTCTGGCCCATTTTTCTACACAAACGATCTTTAAATCTTAAAGGTTCCTTTGGCCTCTTTTATGAACTTTGATCTTCAGTTCTCTTTTGATTTTCTATGGGATTTGGGTCAGGTGATTGACTGGGCCATTCAAGCAACTTGATTTTTTTTCCCTTTGAAACCAATTCATTGTTCCCTTGGCCTTGTGTTTGGGATCATCATCTCACAACAAATGAACCACCCTTTGTCTGTTTTTAGCTGGTAGGTGGCAGTAGATTTTATTCCAGAATGTCCCGGTACTTTTCTCCATTCATTTTGCCTTTAATAATTTGAAGCCTGCCAGTACCCCTTGCTGAAAAGCAGCCCCACATCATGATGCTTCCACCCCCAAACTTAACTGTTGATATGGGAGGTGGGCAGTGCCATTTTTTCTTCAAACATGGTGCAGAATGAGAGCCAAATTTATATTATAGTCTCCCAGTATTCCACAGGCTTCTCCAAATGCTGTTTCACTAACATTAACCGAGACTCAACAAGCCTTTTTGTTCAGCAATAGAGTCTTGTGTGGTGAGCATGCATGGATGCCATGATGGTTCAGTGCCTTGCATATAGTTTCCTTTCGAAAAACAACTGTGCCTGCTGATGCAAGGTCTTCCTGAAGTTCTGCTCCGGTTGTTCTTAACTCTTGGAGAACTTTCCTGATTGTTCTTTGGACTCCTCGTAAAAGAATCTTATGTAGTGCACCTGACTGTGGCCGGTTTATGGAGAACTGATGTTCTTTCCATTTCCAATTTTCATTACCTCCCCTCCTAAATACTCTGTGAGCAGCAAGATTTAGCACAGTTTTTTAATTTAGTTCATGAGGAATGAAAGGGCTCTTCTTTAAGTTGGCTTCTGGAATAAACATCTCAATTCCAGAAAAGTCCAAAGTGTCTAAATCCAATTTAAATTTGTTTGCTGATTTTTTGGAACCTTTTTATACCCAAAGAGTAAAAGGTCAATAGAATACTGTTGAAATACTGTAAAACATTACAAGAAAATCTAGACATAAAAATATGGAGTTGCCCAAAACATGCTAGTTTAATTATAGCAATATTCAAGCCACACTGTTCAACAGATTAGCAGAGCAAATGTTAGCTAAACTACTGTTAGCTAATGGAGAGATTTTCCTGAAAAAGAAAAACTTGCATGATTTTTTTCTACATATGAAATCAAGTAGTGAAGTGGACCAAAAAGTAAATCACATTAGGATTATTGAAACTACTTTTTATTATAATAAGACATTTGTTCAAAATAATGTAGAATTTCTTGTTCTGCAACAGAAACCCCCTTCAGCCCACCATGGACCGCTTCCTGCCTCTGAGCCTGACCTCATCCAGCTTTTTGATGACCGCTGGAGACTTCTTTGATGACTTGGTGTAGCTCTGCAGCAGTTTTTCAAACAGCACATTTGTGTTGGGGTGACTACTGAGGAATGCCTTCTCTAAAACATACAAGTCTACTCCCTTATCCTCTGGCAAAGAGGAGATGTAACTGAGGCCAAAGTCAATAAGGACTAGGTCAGACTCTGTGTCCTGTGAGCTGCACCTCAGCAGCATGTTGGAGGTGGTCAGGTCTCCATGGATGACATCCTCATCATGCATTTTGGCTAAGATCCGGCCGATTCGCTCAGCCAGCTGCTGCAGCTCCAGCTCCTTACAGGAGTTAGCCTGTTGTGTGGAGACTATGTGGTCTCGCACAGTTGAAGATCCTGCAATTTCCTCCATAAAAATGCAGTGGGAGGTGTAGTCCACAAAGTAAACCACTGGAGCAGATATGCCTGTGGAGAAGACACAGTTTTATGTGATGTCAAGGATGTAGGAAAGTTAAGCTAGAGACCTGCATTAGCCTTTGCATCCAGAATGATGGGATCATTTTCATGTTTCGTCTCATTTTCCTTATAAATAATAAATCCAATCAAAGTCAAAATCACGCCCACGTCCCAGTGCTGCTGTGACTGAATTAACCTGTCCTCATACCTGCAAACTCAGATGGGGACAACTAAAATCAATAAACTGGGGTGTCTTTAAATGACTAAGGCTGTAGCATACTGGTGGCCATTTCATACCAGAAAAATACTATCCACATTTCTAATATTGCGTTTTAACATGGTTAAATACTATCTGTATTTATGTTTAACTATATACACTTAAACTCATCTCACAAAAAAGAAAAGGTTGAAAGGAGAAAAACTGTGGTACATGTTTGATGATGAACTCAAAATCCCTGTGAGATGTTTCGCTGTGTGCAGCACTCCCACAGCTTTGAAACTGTTTTTGGCATGCTCTCTCCCTGACTGTGATTGGTCAAATGACTATAAATAGGCATTTACTAGGTTTTTATAGCTATTGGGCATTTTAAATCAAATTTTAATCATGTCATTATGATCATTTGGAGCTGCACCTGCTGTGATGTAGGGTATAAATATTGTTTAAACATTCTGCCTTTAGAGTGAATAATTAAAGCTGTATAGGTGGTCAAGATGAAAGGATGAATGGAATCACCTTTGAAACAATCTAATCAGAAGCTAACTCCAGCCTGGTCTACACTGTAATCGGACAAACGTTTCTACGTGAGCTAAATAAACGTAATGAAAAATGAGCCGTGGGACAACGATACGTTTCTATGAAAGATGAAAATTATCTTTAATCTGTGCATAAGACTCTTAATCAATAAGTCTATACTGGTATAAATCACATAAACTGCTGATTAAACACCATGGAAATGTTTCAAGAGTGGTGAAATATCATGAATGAGCTTTTTTTTTTTTACATAGTTAGTGATTTCTAACTTATCTGGCCAATTTATTCAATTTAAAACAGTTTCTTAGCCAAACCTTGAATACTTATGCAGTTAAATGAGGAGGGGTTTGGTTTAGTGAGGATCCGGTATCACCGGGACCGGGCAGAGCCCAGAAGGAGTACCTGCTCGCCGGCAGCGGAGGATGGAGCGGACCTCTTGAACTGTCCTGCGATGGGTCAGTTTCTCATCCAGCACCGGGTGTCGGTAGCGTTTACGGAACCTCTCTTTCACTATGGTCGGCTTACCGAGAAACTGTGCCCGGTACACGCGGCCTTCTGCTCCTTGTTTAACTAAATCTGCTTTACCGACAAACTGGGGAACCGCCATGTTTGCGTTCTTCTTCTGTGTTTGGTTGGTTGGCTTTATTTGAGAACAATGCCACACAGCGGCCACAAAGGGAACGGCACGGTCGGTGTACTTCGGCTTTGGGAAGTGAGACCCATCCAATATGGCGGTGACGCTTTTACGTCCTCAAATGGTACGTCTACGTCATGTCTGTGTTTCTGAAGTTTGGCTTTTTTACAGTCGACCGTGTGTCGATAGTCGCAAGTTAAGGTAGCGTAATTTTCTGACTATGAAGTTGTCCTTCACAACTGTCCTGCTGAGTCGTTTTAAATTTTAAAATCGAAACAAAGATATTTGTCTGCGCTGCAAAAATGTTATATGATGTTGACGTTGTATAGTTAGCCTTTTGGCTAACGAGTTAGCCGCGGAGCTAAAACTATCAGCTTCCTGGGGTTGAACAGATTCGTACAATTATTGTTGTTTAAATTCACTGATGCTTTTTGGCCTTTAGGTCCATTTTAAAAATACCACCACGCTATTCCTACAAACACATTTAGTATGGTATTGTAGCTTTAGCTAAACACGTGATAATGTAGTTTGGCCAGCCATGCTTATGGGATGCAATGTGAATAGACCATAGACTGTACATAGACAGGACGAGTCTGGCAGGTGAAAAACGTGTTTTCCTTACAGTCTATAAAACAAACATGAAGCCAGATTAGCTGTCAAGAGTGTTAAAACTAGTCCAAAATATAGTATGACAATAAATATGAAGTTTTAGAAATAGTGATCAGTTAAGAGCTAAACCAAATGAATATTAACTCAGATTTGTCCTTCGTTCAATCTGTATTACATTTAATTTGTTTTATATTACTTATCACTGTCACAATGTTGAGTGTTGAACTGGGACCCAAATGCAGGTGGACAGGCAGCAGACTAGCAGGCAAAAGAACAGTTTAATATGGATAATGGTAGGTAGGGTGGCAAATCAGGTTTGACACGGTGAGAATCTGTCAAAGACAACACACCAGCTCAGTGGCCTAGTGCTATGAATGTCTGCCCTTAGACTGGGAGATCCGATTGGGGTTCAAATCCCTGGTTGGGTGGTCATATCCCAATGCCTCCCCGCTTGACACTCAGCACTAAGTGTGGCAGAGTTCCCGAGTGCAGCAGTGTCTGCAGCTCACCGCTCCCCACAGGGATGGGTCAAATGCTGGGGAGAAATTTTGCCACACCAGTGTGTGTGACGTCTATTGGGACTTTAAATTTTAATCAAGCTCGGGGTATACATAAATCAAGTAGGTACGATAACCAGGGGCAGATGAATCCAATAAACACTTGAAAATGGAGACAAGAGCAGATCCTGACAGTCTTTTTTGTGTGTACAGTAGTAAATTGTTGTTTATTTAAATTTCTTCCAGAAATCTACAGTATATTATAAATTAGTGACTGGGATCAGTTGTTCATATTTATAAAGTGAAGAAAAGTAGTGGACACTTTTTTATGTAGTTTTATTTATTCATTTTTTCAGTTTTTTTGTTTTTGGTAGTAAAATACAGTTTTTTTTTAAGTCCTTCTTGGTTAAATGTAATGTTTGTCTTTATTTTAGCATGCTACGTTTACTTTTCTCCTGATTACATTTCATGTAGGCAGTATGGCCAAGCAGTGGTCGGAGGGCCATTCCGCCTCCATCCTTTGCGTCAGTGCGTCTTCAGGCCCAGAGGGTCTCCTTGCTTCAGGTGCTGAGGGTGGAGAGGTGACCATTTGGGGTCAAGATGGTGGCATCATTGGCCGTCTTACTCTTCCTGGAGAAGAGGATATCACCAGCGTGATGTTCTCACCTGCAGGCCCAACCCAGCTGTTTGTGTCACATGGGGACACGGTGAGCGTGCTGGACCCCAAGAACCTGAAAGGACCTGTGGAGGATTTTCAGGGAGCAGGCGAGGAGGAGATTAATGCTTTAGCACTGAATGAAACCAGTTCTGCCTTGGCAGTGGCTGATGACTCTGGGACGGTGCGCGTTCTGGAGGTTCCTGGTGGGAAAGTGTGCAGGACTCTACGTAGACACACAAACATCTGCTCCTCAGTGGCCTTCCGTCCTCACAGACCCAACAACCTTGTGTCTGTTGGGCTGGACATGCAGGTGAGGGAATCATGTTTGTTTTCAACCGCTGCACAAAAACTGTAAACTAGAAGAGTTTGTTTTTGATTCAGGTGATGCTGTGGGGTCTGCAGAAGACTCGCCCTCTTTGGACCATCAACCTCCAGGATGTGGCCGAAGAAGACGGCCACCAGCAGCGTCCGGGCCAGCTGTTTAACCCACCACTGGCCCACTGTGTTTCTGTGTCCAGCTGCGGAAACATGTTGGGTTGCGCAGCCGAGGACGGCCGGGTGCATCTGATGCGGATCGGCAGTGGCTCTAAATTAGAACAACACGGGGCGATCAAGGCACACAGTCAGGGAGCTTCACAAGCTCATTTTGTTAGTTTCCTTTCCCACCCTTACTGGCTGGTCACAGGAGGAAACGACAGCCACGTGGCCCTGTGGGACCTCAGTAAGCACCCGGTTGTGTCTCCAGAGGGAAAAACTCCAACAACAGCTCCTCAGCGGAGGAAAGGCAAGGTCAAGAGAAAGGACCAGACTCTGGATAAATCAAAGCTGAAAGAAGAGGCCAAGGTGGAAGATGAAGCATCTGCAAATGAGGAAGAGGAGTCTGGACCCAAACTGAGCATTAGTCATGGGGACAAAGTGAACTGGTTGTGTCCTGTGGTTCTGAAAGGAGAACCAAATGTGATAGTGGCAGATCAGAGTGCTAATCTAACGGTCTATCCGCTGTCTCAGCCATAGATTTATGTCTTCTTCTGTTGACTTGTTGGATTATTTTAACACTCGGGACGTCTGAGCAAACAGAACACCACAGATCAACAGCAGACAAGAATCACATAAATGTGATGTGAATGAAACATCAGTCCTTAACATAAAAACACGCTGTGTGGTATTTTAAACATGTCATCTCGTAAAATAAACCATTTGTCTCACACTAATTACATTTAAAACAACCACATCTGACTGGAGAAACATGTTTTTAATGTTTAACTGAAGTTTGCAGCTCTTTTTATAGAGTGACAAAACTTCTGAATCCACACCAGATGTCAGAAAACAAAAGCTCAAAGAAAGCTGCTCTAGAAGATATTTGAACACAGCTATTCTAACAAAAAACCCACATCTGTCTTGAGGGAGACACGTTGCTTAAAACATACACAACTTGGTTGAAACGTAAACGCTTGAGGAGAAAACGTATTTTTTGTGCTTAAATGTTAATCAACCTGTCTCATCTGTTTTTTTTTTTATTTAATAAAGAAGTTTGATTCAAACTTAAGCGCAATAAACTTATGTTCTTAAATTCACTGTATTCATATATAACACTTTCAAACAAGAACACTTATTCTGCAAACTTAACATTTTATATGAATAACAAAGACTGAAATGCTGCTCGTGCTCATCTATTTTCAGTGTTTCACAGCTCAGACAAGCTTTAAGTAAATCTGATTACTTTTACACGAGGACAAATGTCTTTACGTCGGGCAGGGTGACCCGTCACTCCTGTTGAAGTTGTACGCCGATTGTGTCTCGCTGCTGATTTTATAGCTTAGCCAGGCTCTTCTCCAGGCTCTCGATGTCCGCTTCCCCCTCTTCACCTTTGCTGCTGCTCCGGGCGCTGCACTCCAGGAACTCCACCCTCATGGGCAGTTGGCTGAACTCAAAGTCCTTGCCTTTTTTCCCAAGATACACGCTGCCGCCCACAGAGCCGTCTTGAGCACTCAGGGCTGCCGAGCGAGTCACTCGCAAGGTGTTTCTGTCAGAAAAATGACATTCTCAGAATTCCATTCAGCAGTTTTAACCCTCAGGAATGAGTTTGATGTTGACTTTGATTTGTGTAATGGCCAGGAGATTTTTAAAAAGTGCTGTTAATGAGACTAAATGGGATATTTATTTATCCTCAACGACTAAAGAGGGTTGTGAATTTTTTTGTCTGAAGCCACTCAAAAACAATATTTTGTCTAGAATTACATCCTAGAAAGATTGCAGCATCTCCCTCATTCGTGTATTTTTTAATAAATGTGACTTCGCAATCTCTCTTAAAAGAGATTATAACAGTTGTGCTAAAAATAATCAGGAATCTGATCAAATTAGGTTTACTTACAGCTCCTTTTCCAGTTGATGTTGAATCAGTTTAGCTGATTTGGCCATGGTGATGTCTATCAAAATAAAAGCAGCAGAAGAGTTTCCAGTTTATAGAAGAGCGGTTTAGTTTGACTGACGCAACGAGGTGATTTAAGTTGTTTATTTAAAGTAAACAGGTTGTTTCACCTTGTTTGTTGCACGCCACCAGAAGAGTCGGGGCGTTTCTGGAGATCACGGTGTCCGTCAACAGCATGTACAGAAACTCTGCCACGTCCCTCACTTCCTTCTGGAAGATGGCACTGTCTACAACAAACACAATGGCTCTGCAGAAAGAAAGGGTAAGATTTTAGAGTGGTGATGAGAATGGGCTCATGAGGAAATAATTAGGCTTGATTCTTTTTTGGTTTTAAATCCTATTTAGTGGAAAAGAGTTGTTGCATTGCAACAAAACTGTGCACAAATATGCTAAAAGCACCAATGAAGAGATTACTGAACCATGCACTTATGCTGTTCTCACCTGGCTGAAGACTTGAACTTCTCCAGGTACTGAAACCGGAGACTATCGTGTCCTGGCAGGTCAATCAGTGTCCAGGAGCTGCTCTAAAAGTTATGGACAGAGCTGTCAATCATTGTCAACCTATAATAACAGTTTTATGCTTTGATGCAGAAGGAAAAGAAGACTTACCCTTTCATTTTTAGCTCTGTATGGCGCACTACTGTCAGTGATGGATGTCTGTGTCCGCTTGAACTTCCCTGACAGCAGCTGAAACAAATAAAACACTTTTAATGAAAAGGAAAGACAGTGCTAACGTGGCCATGGTGGTCCCAACATCAACTCACCCTAATAAACAGGAGGGTTTTCCCAGAGTCACATAATCCGACCAACAGAATGGCACTCTGGACTGTTTTACTGGTTAGAAAATACTTCAGGAAAACTAAAGAGGAAATGTGGAAAGGATTGTTATTTATTCAATATTTTTATTAGCTAAAACCGAAGTTGAATGACTCCTTACACTGTTGCAGCTAAGAGATATTATTTTATTGTTCTTGCGTGTTAATTGAGCATTTTGTAAACACACTGAAAACGTTTTTTCCAGCTTTACTGAGAAACCCGCTTTGAAACGGCATGATACTAGCCTACACGCTAAGGCTAGTTTGCTAAAGCTAGCATGCTAAGCTAACTTACGGTTCCTTCTTACCGCAGGTGATGACAACCACCGCTAAAGCTACGATTACTCCGATCAGAATTACTGGGTCTTGGTCTTCAACTTGCTGACGGAGAGATTCAATAAAAGGCTCAAACGGGTTTTCAGGTGAGTCCTTGTGTGTTTTTTCGCCCATGTTTCCACTGCTGCTGTTCGTAACTGAAATTGGACACGTCTGCTTCCTGGAGCCTGTGGCGAGCTTGAGTGAACAGCAGAGGGCGCTGCAGAGCTGCTGCTCAATAATAATAATCACATAAATATAATAAGAGTTTTCTCTCGGAAAAAATGAATATCACTTTCGATTTTATTTTGTTTTACTTTATGAACATTAAGAAGTAAGAGACATGTTTTTTCATGTTTTTACAAATCCATTTCCCCAAATAAAAGTATGAAATATGTGATAACTCTGAGATAATAATTCAACTATCTATATTTTTTGGAACGTACATTTTAATAGGAACATACTGTAAAAAAGATAGCTTTCCCCTCTTAAACTAAGTAGACATTGTAGGCCTCACGTGAAGGGAAGTGAAAAGAGATTATAAATAAAAATTCAGCTTTATTTCTGAGTTTGGTGCATTTATTTATTATTTTTATTTTTAATAATTGTAAATCATCTTAAACTGTATTATATGTAGCTAAAGGCGAACTACCGCATATAGGTTAGATTTTATTGGAGTCCTTTTGAAAAAGCGAACAGAAAGTGTTTTCTAGTCCTCATTTATTCCCAACCTTGCCGATGTTTCTGTAGAAGACCTCATGTGAAAACAATCAAGGTATAAATGTGAAACAGACTAAAAGCATGAGTTTTGTAACATGGAATCTTGTTATTTTATTTTTGTTTTCAATTGAGACCAGATGCGTTTTTACGCACGTCTCCAGCCCTCACAGTCTGCACGTTTTTTACGCACACTGGATATTTGACTCCTCGGTTGGATGTCAAACGTCAGAGAGAAGTTATTCTATAGGAAATGGCTGAGTGTCCTTCATAACGGGCTCTTGAGGGGGGCAGCTTGTTTCTCGTCGGAACAAGAAATGACAAACCCCCACTGATGGATTCAGCGGGATCTGCTTAGATTACTCCTCTTTGTGAAAGTACTGTAGTTTTTTCGTCATTAAAGACGGATTTACTTGAAAAACATCGACTTCTTTTGAATATTTCTGTCATTCAGAGAGCATGGCTTTGTCTTACCTCTACGCGCTGTGCGTGTGGGTGAGTTTAGTGTGCGCTTCCCTCGGAACTGGGTTCATCTATCACTTTCCAGGCATCAGCCTGCAGCGACCGCGCATCAAGTCGGAACAGAGCCGAACCACGGGTCCACCAGGTTCTGGATCCCGGAACCAACTCAGGTACACTTTTTATTTACACTTTCTGCAAACTCTGTTGGTGTTGAGTGGAGCATTTTTTTATCGCACTGGTTACTTCCAGTTGCTTTTGATCTCTTTCATTGTGCATCGCAGGAACTGGTGCCAGCACACCGTCTCCAGGACTGTTCCATGTAAAGTGCACAACGGGACCGAAACCTCCGTGCAGAGAGTGTTGGGCTGCAGATGGCCGGGACCATGTGCCAAAGTCATCAGGTACCCTCCGAGTCCTCACTGGTCTGCCCCCTTCAGCTCCCAGTGCTGCTGGTTTCCTGTTTACAGTCAGTTAGGGAAATGAAGCAGGGCTCCTTTAGTGATCAAAACACCCTGAAACTGTCATGAATCATTTGCACCCATTCTGAGATTGAAAGGGTTGATCTTAGCAGAGCTAATGCTGTGTTGTGTATAAACAAAGCTAAATCTAAAACAGATCTTTGTCACTTTGATCACATCTGTGCATTTAAGTTTGTGCACATCTGGAATTTCCCTAAAATATAGCAGTTTTTCCCCTTTGTTCTTCCAGCTACAGGACTGTCATCAAGCCATTATTCAAGATCACCTACAAACAGATCACCTCACTGGAGTGGAGATGCTGTCCTGGGTTTGTGGGAGATGAGTGTCATGAAGGTGAGTTGATCTTTTCCTTTTTTGGGACAATTAAGCTCATTTTCCTTAACAGGTTTTGTTTGTCGTAGCAGCAGTGGACAGCTTTTCCACCATTAGAGCCCTTTTTTTCATTTGATGGTGTCGGTATGGAGAGCTCACTATCACACTAGTGAAGAAATTCTGTGAGGATCTTAGTTTTGTAGGTTTTTAACCTTTCTGGAAGATGCCTCTTCTTCTGCGTCATCTTCTCTCTCACTTTTATCCCTCTTTTACAACACAGTCAGTTTCCTTGCCTCCTTGAATATCATCATGGCTAAAACTTCCCAAAAAAGGAAGGAACAAAATATATTTAAGGGGCAGCATCCTGAGGGACGGCTTGTAAAGTAGCTGGTTTCTCGGCACTGGGCAGCGCTGCTCCATGAATCCCACAGACCGCAGACTCTGAGCTGAAAACAGACTCGGAGGGTCGAGCCACAACGGTCAGCGTGAGGAAAATGAGCCGGAGTTGTGGCAGGAGATTCAAGGCAGGGCTGCTTTCCTTGCATGTTTTAAACATCACAGGGACTTGTAAAGAGGCTGAGTGTGTTGCTGACTGACATTATTTAAAATCCACGCTTGTATGAACTGTTCCTATTAAAATGATTCAGCTGGCCTGGTGGCTTTTTACAGACATCTACTGACCCATTCAGACGAGTTTTGCTTATTGGTCATATTTACCGCTCTGCTCCGTTTTCCAGAATTCTTCATTTGGAGGAAGGGATTTACCACGGAAACACATTCTAAGTCTAATAAAATAAGCACAGACACGAACACACAGCTGCAGCCATAGGATGTAATAACGCAGCTGTGTTGTTGGTTGTGTAATACCAAAGGAGGTGTGTGAAGAAGTAATCAGCTGTTTATCTTATGCCATTTGGTCTAAAGAGCATGAAGGAATGGTCTCCATATGAGACGAAGGGCCAGGCTGATGGGTGGAGGCAGGACGTCAGAGCAGATAGGAACCAGGTGAGGAGAAGTGTCAAATGATTCTGTCCCACAAGGTTCGAGCAGATGTAGAACGTCCAGACGGCTGCATTCAGAGGACACTTCCCCACATCAGGGTTCTTTGCAGCAAGGCTATTTAAAAACACATTTAATTAGTTAATAATAAGCTTCCAGAATGTTTTTGAAGACCTTTTTTAAACAAAAAGTTCAAATTTGTCCAGATGTAGTGACTTTTTTTAAATCCCAGTGGTACGTTCACTCTGTGGTTCAAATTATTCAAGTTTTTCCCGATGTTAATTGATCCATTTCAGAGAGATTTTAATGCATTTAAGTTCCTTGTGGCTCCAATGGGCCTTAAACGCGTTGCTCTTAAAGTGATCTCTGTTGATCAACCGTTTGCTCCTGGGAGGCTAAAAACGTTCTTGAATTTCCTCCAGCTGTACATAATCTGTTTGACCGGTGGTAACCTTTTTCCATCCTGATAAGCATCAGGCTGCTCAGAAATCTCATTTGTTCTTGCCGTAGTACGTTTCCACACACGTAGTGAAGCTTGTTTTTAGACATATTCCTTATCTTTAAATAACACAGGCCTCTAACTCACACCAGATTGTCATCCTGCTAAAAATGCAGCAATTCCACCTTTAAACTAGCTGCTTTAGGTTGTTTGGTTTTCATAATCATATAACAATGCAATGTTTTTGTTATTTATGCAAATGTCTTTTATTGCCTACATTTATGCAGTGGCACCCCCAACAGGTTGCCAGGGGGGGCCATGGCTACTCCTAGAAAATTTCTGACCACCCCAGGAAAGACCCCCTGATGTTAACAAATCCTGTTTGTGTTTGAATAAGCCATAAAGTCATCCTCTTTAATCGAGACACAAATGTAAAACCCCATAACATATATATAATTAATGAGTAAATAAATAAATTAATTGTAATACAAAAAATATACAGGTTGCTGCTGCTCATCTTTTTCAAAACAAAAGTACGAACCTCTGTAGATTTAGTGAAGCTGGCAACATGCATTAAACTCTTCTAAAAGTCTTGAAAAATAAATCTCAAAATAATTATTTATTTTCTATTCTAATTTTCAGAAATGTTTGCGTTTCTCAGATTTGAGGTAAATGTGTTGGATGCATATTGTTTTAGAATGAAAGAGAATGAAGGAGCAATGCAACGAGTTACCACAAGGTTACCGTTTTTGGTGAGCCACCCCAAAATCTTTTCTGGGCCCTTCATGAAAAATTTCTGGGGGCGCCACTGCTTTTAAGTGGAGTTTTTAGGTCATTTATTTGCAGAAATATTTTTTTTTATATGTTGTAAGACTTCACCAATTTCCTAACACCAGTGTAATTGCTTCACTCTACCCCCTTCCCAAACTGGTTTCCATCTTCTTGTTTTTGTTTAACAGACAGATATAAAACATGCCATCAATCTCCTAGTAAATGCAAACACCTCCAGTCATCCAGTTCCCTTCAGCATGTGCGGTTTTTGGCTGATAGCACATTTCTGAGTGTGTGTTTGTGCATTTATTTGGGGTCTTTATGTTACTTTTCCAAGACCGAACATGCAGCCCTCTGTAGCAGAAAACCTCTGCCGCAGGGCATGGATCCAGATATTTTATCAGCTAAAGAGAGGACAGCCTTGCAGTGAAGATGACATCACCTCTGGTTTTAGTTTGATGGGGTTCTGGCCTCGCTTCAGAGGTCCCAGAGGCCCCTCGGAGACGTGGAGACGTTGTGAGAGCCGAGAGTGTGTAAGCTGAGAGGGTGTCTCTCACCTCTGAAAAGTCTCCTATTTAATCTTGAATCATTTTCTTCAAGAAGGTCAGATGCTTGTTAACATCAAGATCTCTGCAGCACATAATGGAGATTATTGTTTTGGTCCACAGTCATTCAATAATAGAGATTTAAACAATTCATGCTTGTAAGTTCTTTGAAGAACTTGTAACCTGAGCAACACTGAGACAGAAAAGGTCCTAAAATAGCTGGAATCTGCTGAAGTTCAAGTGAAGCTGTTATCTTGCTGGTATGTTTACATATTATGTTTATTTATTTGGCAGACGCTTTTTTCCCAAGCGCTGCATGGTGGCGCAGTTGTTAGCACTGTTGCATCGCAGCACGAAGGTTGCAGGTTCGAAACTCGGCTGCGGCCTTTCTACGTGGAGTTGTGTGTTTCTCCCCATGCATGCGCGGATTTCCTTCGGGTACTCCGGTTTCCCCCACAGATCACAACATGCCCTATAGGTTATAAATTGTAAGTAGCTTTGGATAAAAGCGTCTGCTAAATAAATAAACATAAACATAAAGCGACGTACATTTTTTAACCTGTAGGGCATGTTGTGATCTGTGGGGGCAAACCGGAGTACCTGGAGGAAACCCACACATGGGGAGAACGTTCAACTCCACGCAGAAAGGCCACAGCCGAGTTTCGAACCTGCAACCTTATTGCTGCGAGGCAACAGTGGTAACAACTGCGGCTCAATGCAGCCCATTTATGTTTATTTACACAAAATTTAATGTTTAACACCACAAATAGCATTTTTAGAAGCTAGTTTTAGCGGTACAGCTGGAATATCACTTTTTCTGTCAGAATAACCATGTAGGTGGTGCAGTTGGTAACACTATTGCTTAGGGGCAAGAAGGGTTGCCAGTTTGAATCCCATGTGTGGACTTTCTGCACTAAGATGGCATGTTTCTCCCAATGTATGCATGTATTTTCTCCAGGCATTCTGTAGATTTTACTCAAAGATTAAAAAAAAGCAAAATAGGCTAGTTGGAGACTCTAAACTGTCCCTCGGTGTGAGTGAGTGTGTGACCATAGGCGGAGATCCCAGGGGGGATGGGGGGGACGCGTCCCCCCCTCACACAAAGTTGTCCCCCCCACAAAAGATATTGTAAATGTTTAAATGCTATCAGTAAACCTGTATTTTCTTCTAAAACCACAACGTAAAAGTTAGTCTGCAAATACAAAATAATGTGTTTTTAACTGTTGAAAAATTATAGTCCACCCCCCCCCAATTCCTCAAGTTGGTACGGTCGGTCCACACGCACTGTTTCCAACGGGCGGGGCTGCCGGTTCTGCGTTCTGCCTCGCTCACAGCTTCACAGCAGCCCGCAGGCTCACAGGAGCCGGGAATCAAAAAACCAGCAGTTTCCAGCAGTAAGTCATTTATCACACACCATCACAGTAAAAAAAAAAAAGTTGTCACTTCATGTTCTCTGGTCGTTCCAGGATTATTCCGTTATTGTTAATCCATCCACTAAGGTAACCAAAAGTTCCTTTTTCCAGACACGTACGCTTTCACGGTCTGCCCCTGGAATCTGCGGAGCATTTATAGATCGACGAAAATGTCCGCATTTCATCCTATTTAGCAGATGAATATGGTAGAATCAAAACTAACTGGTCCGATGTATGGAATACCACAGCGTTTAACCGCTCTTATCACGTCTTCCCCAGGCTCTGCAGTTGTTCACAATATGTCAAAGTGCAGGTGCACCGTGCAGCTTAGGGATGAACTGGTTGCAGCAAATGTGTGGTGGAGGCACGTTACTCAAAGCTCTCAGTGTAAAAACATAGAGCCAAAGATCCCGTTGGCCACACAGACCCAAAAACACTATGAAAACTGAGAAAAGTGAGAGATCGATTAAACTGAAAGGTAAACTACAGAGTATGTATATGTTTAGTGTATTTGTAAAGTAAATGTTTTTAATTTTTATTATTAAAATGAAACAAATATTTCAAGAACATATTTTTAGATTTTGTGTATCTTTTCGTTCAGTCGGACTTAGATAAAGTTATTAAATATTACAGTTATTCTCTAATAGCATACAAACATTTCTATGATTTATTAAAGAGATTTCAGTCATTCTGATACTTGACTTGTGAAAGCTGATTTGAAGTTTGTTATTTTTTCTAGCCATAATTAGAAGGAACATTTGAAATATATTAAAATCAATATGGAACTATTTGGATAGTAGCTTTCATGTTATGTGATTTAATAAAATTTTAATTTGACATTTATGTTCTCTCTCT